ATAATCATTTAATTTTTATGAGTGATTTGAGTGGTTCACCAATTTTGGAAAGTATGGACGAGAGGAAAGACAATATTATACCGATCGAGGACAGGGATTACAACAATCGTATGTGTCTTACAGTTTATATTACTGTTTGTGTTTCAAAAACAAATAACAAATTCTTGTTATCATAAACAGATGAATCGGATTCTGGCACTAATTGCTGTGCATTAGTGCTTAAAATATTGTCAATATTCCTGATACTCATAACATTTCCCATTTCACTATTCATGTGCATTAAAGTAAGAAATTTAACTATTTTATTATTTCTAAACTTTATACCCTAAAAAAAATATTATGTCAAAGTTTATAAACATTGAGATTTTAAGTTCTTAAAATTTTTCTAACAAAGTCTGTATAAAAACTGCCCGCACGCCTCCCAACCCCCATATAAGCCCAGGCGACTATTCCCATAATTTTCTATACTAACTAAGGATTATTTTAAGCGTAACCTTATATTCTTACTAAATTATTCTGAGACGGGTCCAATTGTTAGAAAAATTGATGTTTTCTTAAAAAGTTGAAATTTTAGACATAAAACATTTTTAAATGATATATTTTGTGTGTATAGGTAGTGAAAGAGTATGAGAGGGCTATTATTTTCCGGTTGGGACGTCTAGGTAAAATGACATTCAAATACGAAATTAACAAATAAATACAAAATATTACATAATTTCTAGTGAAAGGAGGTGCTAAAGGACCTGGATTATTCTTTATTATACCGTGCATGGACAACTACCGGTGCATTGATATCAGGCAAATAATTAATATACATATTTTGCACGAGTATTTAAATTAACAAAATTTTGTGGCATACCTGTGCCCTATAGGACCATCTCATTCAATGTTCCGCCGCAACAGATCCTATCGAAAGACTCGGTGACAGTGACTGTGGATGCGGTCGTCTACTACCGGGTGTTCAACCCAACCATCACTGTCTGTAATGTCGAGAACTATACCTATTCTACACAACTATTGGCCGCCACTTCTCTCCGCAATATTTTGGGCACCAAATCGTTGGCAGACATGCTGTCGGACAGGGAGTCCATATCGCGTACACTACAGACGGTGCTGGACGAGGGCACCCATCCGTGGGGTGTCAAAGTGGAACGGGTTGAGATGTATGACCATAGACAAATACAATATATTTATAATTGATGATAAACAAGGTAATAAACATTTTAGAAAAGACGTCCACCTGCCCGTCCAAATGCAGAGGGCTATGGCTGCTGAGGCTGAGGCCAGTAGGGATGCCAGGGCTAAGGTATGACATGTTTTAGGAGTTATTTGAGGCGTGTATTAATGATGGGGTGAATGTGTGACCTCTGGGCTACAGGTGATCGCCGCAGAGGGCGAACAGAGGGCCTCCCGGGCCCTGAAGGAGGCGGCGGATGTGATCAGTGAGTCTTAGTTATTTGAGGTGTGTATTAATGATGGGGTGAATGTGTGTCCTCTGGGCTACAGGTGATCGCCTCAGAGGGCGAACAGAGGGCCTCCCGGGCCCTGAAGGAGGCGGCGGATGTGATCAGTGAGTCTCCATCGGCTCTACAGCTCCGGTATTTGCAGACATTGGCCACAATTGCCACCGAAAAGAACTCTACGATTGTCTTTCCCGTGAGTTTACATACAATTTGTTTCGGTCTTGTTTATCATTATGA